ACTTCTCTAGCCATAAAAGAAACGCAAATCAAAACAACATTGAGATACCACCTCACCCCAGTTAGAATGCCTGTAATCAAGAACTGTAATAACAACAGATGCTGGAAGGGATGTGGACAGAAGGGAGCCCTACTGCATTGTTGGTGGGAGTGTAAACTTGTTCAACCACTCTGGAAAGCATTATGAAGTTTCCTCAAAAGACTAAACGTAAAGCTCCTCTATGACCCAGAAATCCCACTGTTGGGCATTTACCCAAACAATCAAACAAGACAATATTAAAGCTACCAGCACAACCATGTTTATCACAGCATTATTCACCATAGCTAAGATGTGGAACCAACCCAGATGGCCCTCAGTAGATGAAGGGATCAAGAAAATGTGGCACACACACACACAAACACACACACACACACACACACACACACACACACACGGGAATTTATGCTTCCATTAGAGAGAATGACACCACCCCATTTGTAAGGAAATGGCAAGACTTGGAAAAAATTATATTGTGAAGTAAGCCAGACCCAAAGAAACATAGGTCCAATGGTTTCCCTTATTTGCAATAACTAGTATACATCTTGGATAATCTTACCAGGGAAGCCGAAAAGATCAAAAGTTATGTACATATGACCATATAAGATGATGCTAAGCAAAATGAACCAGAAGAAATGGACACAAGAGGTTTTTTTCTTTGTTGCTGTTGTTTTTAATTTATTATGTGATTTTTTTTGTTTCTTTTTTATCTTCTCCTCCCTATGGTATAGCCCTTTTTCACTGTATTTGATGTTGGTTCCCTGCATCTTGTATATACATTTTTCTAATTTGGGGAGGGGAAGGAAAATAACAAAATGCTGAAACAAAGATACAGGCTGACCCATTGTAACAACAGGATGTACAAGACACTATGTTGAAAATGAACTTTACAACTTGACCGGGGATGGAGGAGTTAGGGAGATTGGGAGGGAAGGGATAGTAGGGGGAAAACAAAGGAGAGGTAACAATGCTCCACAGGAAATTTACTCATTACCTTTTTCATGTAACTGTAACCCCTCTCTATAGTATCTTTACAATAAAAAAATTTAAAACATATTAACAAAAAGAAAGTCTGGTCACTTTCAACAGTATAGCCAGAGTATTTGAAAATAACTTTCTTAAACCATCATTTTAAAGATGATAGTCATTATTTAAAATTAGAAACTATAGATATTCAAATAACAAATAAGGGAAACCATGGGACCTATGTTTCTTTGGGCCTGGCTTACCTCACTTAATATAATTTTTTCCAAGTCTTTCCATTTCCTAACAAATGGGATGATGTCATTCTTTCTAGAGAAACAACAATCTTACAACCTTAAGAAATTATGATTAATGCTTTTTGAAATGTTGATAACCCAAAACCAGAATGATACTGTTCCTTGTTGTATATTGTTTTGCTAATATAAAGTATACTGCGGACATAATGCCTTGTATTATATTGGACCAATTGCCTCTCCTTGAGGCATGATCCTCCAAACTTTCAAGCGTTCTATTTGTTCTCTTCTCTACTCCTAAATTCCTAGTCTCTCATTTGTACAGAATTTCATTACCTAACAAAGTCTTGGTGTATCTTATCTTGTATCTCAAAAATTGGCTGCGTCCTCCTTGAGACTCTGCCATGTGGTACCCAAACACTTATCAGTTGCCTAAATTAATCTAAAAAGTTAAGCAATGTGTCCTTATTTAGACAAAAAGCCCCAGGTGACATGCAGAGCTAAATATGTGTGGTCAGAGCCATTTAACTTGACTTGATTTATACATGTTACATTCAAGTTCCAAGTAGGAAGCTTGAATCTATATGCACTCAGAAGAGTTTTATTGGATGTACTAAATTCAGAATCCACAAAGGGAAGGTCCAGCCATCACTAACAAAACTCATGTTTGTCTACTGAGGTCTATGGTTGCTTGAGCCAGTGGGTAATACATCTCCAATGGGAGGCTTGATAGTCACCTGGGGCTGAAATAGAAAAAGGAGCCATGACACAGAATTAGAACATACCTTTCCTTGACATCTGGACCCTTATGTCAGTTTTAGTCAGCTTCTAAAAGCCAAAATACCACAGGACCATCCCTTGACCAATTTACACAGTTAAAGTTCACCTGCATAGCAGGTGTGTCTGTTTGTTAAGATCTCCAGCCTTCTTCCTGAGAACCAACCTTTGCAAAGAGTGGATCTCACCTCACCCAGCCAGTAAGGGTTCGCCTGCTGTATTCTTTTTTTTTAGTATATTTTTTATTGTAAAGACACTATACAGAGGGGTTACAATTACATGAGCAAGGTAATGAGTCCATTCCTATTGAGCATTGTTACACTTTCCTTTGTTTTTCCCTACCATCCCTTTCCTCCCCACCTCCCCAACTCCTCCCTTTCCCACTCCCCCAAGTTGTAAATTTCTTTTTAACATAGTGTCTTGTACATCTTGTTGTTACAATGGGTCAACCTGTATCCTTATTTCAGCATTTTGTTATTACCCTTCCTCTCCCCAAATTAGTCTTTTAAGTATTCTTTAAAGCAACCGAAATTGCTTGTGATCACTTTGACTGGGATGCTTTTTTTTCCCCCTCAAAGTGGTACTGTGAAAAACTAAGACAATCTGACAGTCTTAAACACCTCACAGAAAAGAATGAACTATTTGCTTACTACCAGTATGAGATATTGAGCAATAGAAGATGACTTGTATCTTAGGAGCTTATTTAGAAATATACAGTGCAACCTTTGTCCATTGTATGGCTAGTAAAGATCTTCTCCCAATCTATGGGCTTTCTATTGATCTTGCTAGCTATGTCCTTTGCCATGCAGAAGCTCTGCAGTTTCATGCAATCCCATTTGTCCAACCTTTCTTTGATTTGTTGTGTTTCTGGGTCTCTATTAAGAAAATTTTGGCCTATGTCAAGGAGACCTAGGGT